TTAAACAAGCTGTATATATTGCGTAGAGTCATGGGGTGATCACTTTTTTGATCACTTGCAGCGTGGCTGGGCATATTCCATCTAGTCCTGGTGCTTTTATCCTTGCAAAGGACTCTATAGCCCAGCGGATTCTTCTAGAGGATATTAGATCTTTTGGGAAATGCTCTTGTCCAGTCGCTAGGTCCTGGTGCTTATTAGCATCGGGTAACTCAGTGCATCATGGGAAATGCGCCTTCATTAGTGCTGTTAGGGCTGCTTCGATAGCAGCTCCCGGAGTCTAGCCGTTTCTGGGGCAGTCTCTATATTGGAGCAGAAGTTTCTCCATGAGTTTCTCTGCGCCTTGCGTATTTCCTTCTTGTAGTCCCTTAGTAGGACCTTGTATTCCTCATTGATGATATCATCTTTCGCCTGCATGGCGGTTTTTAAGAATTCTTTCAGTTTGTTGCGTCGGAGTGAAAGGTTCTTATTGCACCAGGGTGGCCTGGTCCTCTTTCTCGTGTCCGATATAGGGCATATAGCATCTAACAGTTCTTTGTAGAGGGTCTTTAGGGACTTTTCTATGTCTTCCGCGGATTCCACTATGCCCGAAAAGGTCGCGAGCCGTGTCGCGATAGTCTCCTTGAACTTTCCCCAGTTAGTATTCCGGGGGTTCCTGAAGACTGATTGTTTTGGAGAGTGTTTGAATGCGTATTGGAACCGTATGTACTTATGATCTGAGAAGGATGGTCTCTCAAGGACTCTCCATTCTGATACCAAAGTTCCTTGTCCCCTTACAAGAGTAAGATCTAGCACGTTTGAGGAGGTGGGACCTACAAAGGTGTGTTCCTCCCCCACGTTTGCTACACTCAGGTTGGTCGAGAGTAAAAGTCTAAAAGGGACTAACCTCTGTCGTTTATGTCGGGGCTCCCCCATACGCAGTGGTGCGCGTTGGCGCCTGCACCCAGGAGCAGTTGCTGGTCCTTCGGGCTGGCTTCTACCAAGCTCATGAGTTCTTCTGGTGGGGCCGTCCTGTCGTGTGCCATGTAGCAGGAAGCTACCAAAAGGCGCTTTTTTCCGCTCTATAGCATCACCACGGTCATGTCATCAGAGCTGTAGTGAGACATAATGTTAGCGTGTAGACCCATCCGATCAAGTACGCCGGTTCTATTCCTGCTTACCGTTGGTGGATAGAGAAAATTGTAATTGTAATTTGCGGACTTTAGTCCGACGATGGCATTGCCTGAGGCGATCAATGGATATGTCGGCGGATCCTTCCTCCATGGCTGCTCCATTGCTCCACGTGCAGAACTTTCCAGTCCGCAGTTGGTATATTCGGATTCTGACGCCCGGTCTCCTTGGATTGCGATGGGGAAGAGTACCTTCGCCTTCGGAATGGATGGGATTAGCTACAGGTCCACCACATCCAGCCCCCTCCGACAGCGCCTCCAACTGGCAGACCGCTTGCGTCAGCCACTTTCTCGTCGGGTCATCCATGCACTTCAGGATTTTGATCCCATTTAGCCATTCAGCGCACCATTAAAAGTCGACCTGGGAGCTTCGGAATCTTCCTCCATCCGTGCATACAACGACTCAACGAGCCGCGCATGCACCATCTTCCACCGCGCCTCGGTCATCTTGCCGGCTTCATCGCTTCTGTCAATGAGTGCCACGATCAAATGTCGCTTGGTCACCTCACTGACTTTTGCGATATTTTTGGGCTTTTTCGGCATTTGGGGAGGGCCTGCCTCCTTAGGCCCGTGTTGCCGCTTGCTCCCCGGTGCGTCCATACAGGCTCTCTCGGCTGAGCGTTGCCTTTTGTTGGCAAGGCGGGCGGGCAAGACGGGCGAATTTGCCTGTGTGGGAGAGTGTAGCCTCCCCTCAGCGATCTTCTCCTCCCATGTAAGCTTTACCTTCTCCACTGGGGATATGGTGGCTTTTTCCTGGAGCCGATTCTAAATGCAGGGGGCGGCCTTGTACTGCGCCTTGGCCTTCATCCCTTCGATTGACCGTTTTGACCCGTCCCCGCGCTGGGAGCTGGTGCCTGGTTTCGGCAAGTGGAGAAGGCTATCTTCCATCTCTTTGGAGAGCTGCACGCTCTCAAGGTCCAAGTCTGTATTGACTATGACATGTGAGAGGCTTAACTTCCCCGGCGTCGTTTTTCGGCAGTATCGATGCAACTGACATGACCTGCTCCCGTCACATCAGAGGTGTAACCGCTGGTGACACGCAGAGAGGATTGCTCCCCCGTACTCGCCGGTGGTAACGGTCATATACATAGCTGTCATAGAAATTATCAAAAAATTTTTAGAATTTATTTTCAGCTTTAATATATGGAAATTATTTGCATTTATTTATAGCTTGGAATGTTGTGTATATGTCCCCAAAAGAATTTTTAGAAATTCGAAATACTTTAGAAGATACGGCCTTTTTTGTGAAGCAAGGTCTTCGCAAAATGAGCTATTTTCAAACTTCAAACGCGTTTATCTCGAAACCACGTTTTTCGAACTGGCGGCCATGATATCTGCAGTTCAACTGAACCGATTTTCATGAAACAAAGTGGAATCGACGCAAAATTGTCACCATTCTCGGGTGACGGAATTTAAAATTTTTTTTCTATTACACTAAACTAAAAAAAAAAACCCCGAAATTGAAATTTTTTTTGAATGGCCGCCATTTTGTTTAAAAATTTTTTTTAATTATTTCCCTCCGTCACCCGAGAATGACATCTATTCTGATTATAACCCCGTTTTTTTTTCATTTCGGACGCTCTGGAGACCCTGAATCGTGGCCACCAGGACGACACCTTTTTTTTCCACCACCAAGTTTAAAGTCTCATTACTCTTTGAACAACCCTCGTATCGAGGCAAAGTTAGTTTTTTTATTTACTTTTAACATTTTTTAAAACAATAAATAAAAAAAGTTTTCAATTATTCTTTGCGTTTTCAAATAAGAATTTTTTTTAAAAAGGGTCCAAAGAACGGGTTTTGAATGAGAAGACCCCCTTAATTTTTTTGAAAATGGGACAACTATATCATATAGGTACCATAGAAACGATCGGTTGATGTAGAGAAAAATGCAAAGTGTAAAACTGTAATATAATAAGCATATATATATATATTTATATAAATGCTGAAAAAAATATAAAGTAATATATATATATATAAATTAATACGATTAAATTTTTTTTTTTAATTTTATCAAAGACAAATTATTATATGATATGTATAAATATACACATTTTATATTTCTTTTTTTATACCCTTGCAAAGTATTATAATTTCAGTCAGAAGTTTGCAACGCAGTGAAGGAGACCTTTCCGACCCTATAAAGTATATATATTCTTGATCAGCATCAACAGCCGAGTCGATCTAGCCATGTCCGTCTGTCCGTTTCTACGCAAACTAGTCCCTCAGTTTTAAAGCTATCTGAATGAAACTTTGCATATGCTCTCTATATGCTCTCACTGCTATATATGTCGGAACGGGCCGGATCGGACGACTATATCATATAGCTGCCATACAAATGTTCGATATATTTTTAGAAAAAAAATTATAACTTTGCTGTTTTTCAACATTTTTGCACCATTTTTTATATATGAACATTTTATATTATTTCAGAATATTGGTAAAAATTTTATGAAAATCGGACGACTATGTCGACGCATATTCACGAAAATATCGTATGTCGCTTTTTTTCGAAATTGAGATTTTAATGCAAATTTGTTAGGCACCTAGTTTCTCACTACACTGTGAAATATTATAACTGAAAGCCCTATAGTTCCGATAAAAATTAAGTTTCAATTTTGTCTTTTCTATAGTGCTTCCAAAGAGATTACATCAGAAAAAAGCTTCTCCTGTAAAATTGAATTTTTAAACATACGATACATTCGCGGAAATGCGTCGATATCATATAGCTGCCATAGGAACGATCGGGAAATTAATAGAAAAAATATTATAGATTCGTTGTTTTTCAACGTATTTTCATCTACTCCATGATATAAGCTTATTTTATTATTCTAGAATTATGGTATAAATTTCATAAAAATCGGACAACTATATCATATAGCTGCCATATAAAAGATCGGTAGATGTAGGGAAAATGTAAAGCTGGAAATGCAAAACTGTGACTGTCAAACTGTAAACATAATAAGTATAGGTAAAATGTAATAAAATAATATCTGCAAGGGTATACAAACTTCGGCGTGCCGAAGTTAGCTTCCTTTCTTGTTTTCATATGCTTTTATTTACAATCAGAAATTTAGCGTTGTTTATTTTTTATTTAATTTTAATAAGGTGTCGCACGCGACAACTTTTATCATCATACTTTGCATGTAATTTTTTACTATTTAAGTAAATTAGAAGAGCAAAGCATAATGTTTCGGTTTGGATGTAATTATCAAAAGAAAACAGGCCCATTTTTATGATGTTTTTTATCAAAATAATGAAAATCGTGTTTTCGCGAATATGCATTCGAATATTTCGAAATTTGTTTTAGAATACGCTAAAGCCCTTCAAATTTAATCAATTGGACCTTTTCCTAATGTTACTATGTTGGAAAAAACATTTTAGAGACGTTTAAGTTTTTCGGCCGCGGTGGACATTTTTGTGGAATTGCCCATATCTCAATGTATATAAAAATAATATAACTGAAATAGCTTAAAAACTGAGGGACAAGTTTTCGTAGAATAGAGTAGACGATCGATATATATATATATATATTTACTTTAAAGGGTTAGAAATGACTCCTTCAATGCGTTTAATACCCTGCAACGTTAAAAAATTATATCTTCGCCGTTTTTTAATTTATAATTTTTATCTGAGATATGGGCATTTATTATAATGTTACATTTTGGTTTAAATTAACTGTCGTACATGAAATCTATAATATAATATGCAAAGGTAATGAAAGTAAACAGCATTGTTTGTAAACATATAATATGAATTGATATATATATTTTTTATATTAGATATTACAACCATGGGATTATTATATTATATACTTTTCGGTTAATTCGACTGACATGGCTTAACTCATAATTATTCAACTGCAACGTAAGAGTATACAAATTTCGGCGAGCCAAAGCTAGCTTCCTTTCTTGTTGTTTAATTTGACATAACTCGGAGTAGCTAGCTTCCACTTAAAAATGCAAACACCGAACAACAAAGCGTAATATGAATCTAAACAATAATGCGATGATTGAGCTAATTTGTTTGCTAATTGGAGTACTCAAGACGCCTTCTGGCCACCGCCAATCTCATAAGTCTGCGCCGTTCCAATTCCTGCAGTTGCTGCTGGACGAGAAGTCGATGGAGCAGATCCACTTGGGCGTGCATTTGGACCTTCCGCTGGACCCTCTGCAGCTCCTCCTCGACGAAGGATTCCATGGTCTTGGAGATCATGTTGTAGAATTGCAGATTGTCATCTTCGGCTTGTGGTTTATTGTGATCCTGGGAAGTATGTCGGCCACACGTGATATTTACAAACTGCAGGAGTATGGCGATTAGATTACTCCAGAAAATTAGCGACGTCCGATAGAATTCAGAAATGGTTTCCAACATGTCGACAACTTAGTTGACTGGAGGGATGTGTGAGATGGTTAGGACAAGCCCAATGCTTATATACACCAGACTGGTGTACCTAGATACTTTTGTAAAATTGATGAAACCCTTTCAGGTAAAATCCTGCGTATACTGGTGACACAGGTATGCCGTCAAAGTCTCCGGGGAGCTACTTATTTTTGGGGAAAACCTACATTTGTTGGTACCTACTATATGTATTTTAGTGTCTACCTTAGCAATGGGTTCCCTATTAATCCTCGGTTACCTGACTATAACTATTATATTCTTAAAATATTTGCAAAACTATTACCAACTCAATTTAGTTTAAATAAAATGCATTGCATTTAGGCTTCAATTATATATATTAGTATATCAATTATATATTTTTATATTTTAAGGCGTAGTCATGGAACAGGCTCGACCCGTGCCCGCTCCCCGCCGCTTCTATCCGGAAATGAGACCCGCCAACTACGAAAACATCGATATCAGGACCCCGAATAAAAGCCAAACTAATGTCACATCTAACAGCGGCAATAACAATAATAACAACGACAACATGAAGAAGTTAAATATAAATGCAGAAAATTTGCATGGAAATTGTTCGGACCAAAAGATGACGGTGAGTGGTCAGAACAAGTTGATGCTGCAGCCGATTTATGGGCCGGATGCCAATGAGAATGTCCAGGAGCCAATGTATGCCACGCCGATGCCCGCTCCTCGCCAGCGAATGCCAACGGAATCGCCAAGCGAAACGGAAGGGAATCACGATGGCGAGCTGTCGCCGCTGCGCATCCTACGTGTTGCTCCACAGGTACCGTCCAAGCCCGATCAGCGTTCATCAGTCTGCAGCGAAATATCTAGCACCATGACCGTGGGCAGAACTGACGAGGATCGGTACGCGTCGAACATATCGCTTGACTACAGCGAGAGCTCCCACAGCGGCAAGTTCAAGTCGCAGTCACCCGGGTACGTAGACGCCTTCGAATCATCCTCCATCTATAAGTCGCAGGAGCACGGGGAGGATCCAGAAGAAGGTCAGTCGTCCTGCTCCGGGGAACAGTCCGAAAGCCGAGATAGCGACGATGACAAGTAAACTTTGACAGCAATTCTACCTTTTGACTTTCTGTTTTCCGCACTATCTTTAGCACTCCTTGGGTCATCCCTTAGTTTTGTAATTTTGTAAGCTGGTTTGCGGTGGAATTTAATCTTTAAATTAAGTCCCTATTACACCCCATTTAACACATAAAGCAAATTAAGTCTAAAAAAAATATGCAAAAAAACGATAATTGTTTTTGACAATGACCAAAGTTAACCTGATATTGAAAATGGCTCATAAATTAACAGATTTTAGTATGAATAAAGGCGTCCATAATAATAGCACTATGATCTATATCACTTATGAACAAATTTCCATTTTTATAGCCCTTTTCCATATATTTCATTTTATGGAAATCTGACGACTATTTTATATATATAGTTGTCATAGGAACGATCGGGAAAATAATAGAAAAAATTATAACTTTGTTGTTTTTTAAAGTATTTTCCTCTTCTCTGAGATATGAGCTCATTTATTTCAAACTTCTCGTTTTATTTTGATGCAAATCGGACTACTATATCATATAGCTGCCATCGAAACGATCGGTAGATATAGTGAAAATGTAAAGCTGGGAGTGAAAAACTGTGACAGTCAAATGTAAAACTCTGTTTTGTGTGTGTTTTCAGCATTTAAATTAATAATATAAATATCAAAACCAAATTATTATATACTATGTATATTTTCTTTTATTTTTTCTATTAATCTAACCAGAATGGCTCGATTCATAATGATCCAATTGCAAAATTCGGTGTGCCGAAGTTAGCTTCCTTTCTTGTTCTTTATAATTTGTATATACTTTTATGAACATCATTTTTTTTTTTTTTGCTTAATTAACAATCTGTACTTAAAAATAGCTAGCGTATATTCTAGATCAAAGCCAAGAATTTGTTATCCTTCAAACAATCGGATGATCAATGTCACCCGAGTATCGATTTGGTGTATTTATTTTCTTTTGTATCTTCAAATAAAGCATTCAGTTAGTTTTACATAATATATAATATTATCTTTTGCTATGACGTTTTGTTATTTTGGCATTTATCAATAATAGTTATGGGTTTTAATGTGTGAAATCTGAAACCTTTTTGTAGTTTAACAATTTCGTTGAATACTTCTTGCTTTCCATTCACATACTAACCTTCAAGGAAACTGGATAAGATTTAATTCAAGAACTGGCGCAGGAAAAAGTATTATTCCAAACTTATTATTACATATATTTTAGAAACCTTTTGCGATCTCTGGGCACCACTTCAAAGATGCTGGGCGAATCCATCGGTGAGCGGATTACATCCAAGGCTAAGGGAGCCAAAAAGCGTCTGGACAAGAACCTTAAGAACTCCACTGAAGCGATAAGCAATCTCGGCGCGGATGCGGGTCGGAGCCTAAAGCACGCCAGCAAGAGATTTGGCTCGAACTTTAGCAGTCTAGGACGAGCGAAGGACAAGAATGATGGCGATGACGGTGTCGGAGCAGAAGCATCGTGTGCAACGGATCTTAGCCGTCGCCAGACGATGCCTAGCACGGAGGTTTTCAGTTCCATTCAGTTCTCCAGTCCGCTTAATCGCAAGGGAGGTCTTCCTGATTTAAGGCAAGACCAGGACGGCGGCTATCCCTTGGAGGGCAAGAAGGCGGCTGATCTGCGCGAGGACGACGGCTGCTACGAAGTGCCCAAGACACAGGGCAAGCCGCCCAGCTATGATGAAGCTCTGCGTTCACGTCCTTCGCCCAGTGCCTTGCCAATGGCCAGGAATCTTGCCCAGGATGCCGTCCGACTGGTGCAGCTGCGCAGTCAGCGGCAGGTAAATGTTCAATTAAACAGCAACAGTTCCTCCAGCGGCGACGATTCGCCGCACCCCCTGCCAATGCCTGCCTTTCCGCCACCCCGCCTGTCGCAGCAGCCCGAGCAGTTCCGCCTGGACGCACTACAGCCGCCGCGGCGGCAGAAGCGGCGTAAAAACTACGAGCACATCGAGTTGCGACGTCCGCCCGTAAACTCCGAGGAGCTGGAGGAGCTTAACAGGGCGGCGGCGGCTGTTGAGCGCGAGGACTCCTTGCAGATATCTGCCAGTAATGCCGAGGCGGAGTCCAAGGCGCCAAAGCCCGAGCGCAGTGATTCCTGGGAGTTTTACGGCGACGAAAAGATTGAGAAGGAAGAGGAGGCCGATGATTCCTCTCCGGAACCGGTGTACGCCAACCATGAGGCAACCTATGGGAAGCTCTTCGAAATGGCCACCGCCGGAAGTAGTCGCAGCCATTTGCTCACTCCCAATCAAGTGACCGAGCAGCAGTTGGCCTGCATCAGCGAGAATGCGGAGGAAGGAGCTGTGGGCGGTGTTCCCCTGCCGCTGGAACTGATCGAGGAGTTTGATCCCCTAACTAGCAAGAGCTCCACGTTGGCCAGATCCAACAAGAGCAATGAGCTGCTGCTCCTTGAACATCTCCTCGAGGATGAAACCTATGGCACTGTAAAACGCGAGCAGGACAATGTTAGCATGTGCACTTCCGAGGAGGAGCCGTCCTCCTCGGTGCCACCGTGCATCGTATCAAAGGAGCAGCCGCAAATAGTTCACCAGAATTCCCAATTGCTAAGCGACTGCTTGGAGCATATGCTGGACTCTGAACAGGAGACTGCCCGCGACGAGGAGCGAGCCAAGCCCTATTTAACCAGAAAGCCAGCCATCGACAATAAAGACGTGGCCGTGGATCTGGCCAGTGCTTCGAGGAACCGGACCAATTGGTTTGTGGCAGAGAACGCCGTTGTCCCTGGTTTTGGTTCATCTGGCGTACCGACCGTAGCCTCCCCCATTGAAGGCGACAGCCCGCCCACTTATCTTGAGGCCGTTGGAGAGGGTGGCAAGGAGATGGCCGCTAACAGTCAAGATAACCGTTCCACCATTGGTTCCCGCTTCAGGCAGACCATCAACGCCTTTTCCAATGTCAAGCTACGCATGGACGCCATGAAGAGGAAGGCCAGCTTTCGGGCAGCCAATCAGCGCCAGTCGGACCTGAAGGTGGCTCTACAGATGGTGCCGCGACCGTGTCTGTCACCCCTCCTCGTTCGATACGAGGGACCGCTGGTGCGCTTTCCCACGGGTGTCGTGGAGGACATACTCAAGGAAATACAGAACCGCAAGGCCATACTCAGGGAGCGACAGTTTCAGACGTTCCTTGACCAGGAGATGAAAACGCCAAGGGAGGTGATACCCCTGGAAACGGTCACCACCCTGCAATGCGTGAGCAACAGCCGCGTCACCGATACGACCACTCACTTCTACTGCTTCGAAATCACCACTTCGCAGCCAAAGAATGGCAGCGGGGCTGGCGACGCCATGTCCACGAATCCCAATCTCCTGATGACCAGCAGCTCGTCGGGCAATGTGAAACAGCAGCGCGTCTCGCACCTCTATGGCGTGGGCAAGGAGTCGGAGCGCGGCGTATGGATGCAAAAGATCCTCGAGAGTCTTACAAACAGCCTACCAGTGAAGTACTCCTGCCATTACTACCGCGCCGGGTGGTGCTATCTCAAGGTGGGTGTCGACAGGACAGCACAGGTTTCAGCCTCCCTTTTGTGATATTTCCTTTTCTTCTTCCCAGACCTCCATCACCTCGGAGTGGAGTGGCACTTGGTTGGTGCTTCGCAAGAGCCAACGACGCCTAATCTTCGTGAGCGAGTCGAACGGAAACATAGAGAAGCTGGATCTGCGCAAAGCCAGGTGCATAGGTAAGCAATCACAGGACAAAACGGACATACCACATAGTCCAATCCAATTCTTAATTGTCATCCCGAAGTGCTGAAGGAGAGTGATGAGTCTATCGAAAATCTGCACGTGGAGAGCGGTCCTATGCTGATGATCGACTGTCCACCGTACGCCGTCTACATGATCATGAGTTCCGCGAGGGAGACGAAGATCTGGCGACACATCATCCGCGAAGTGGCGCACAACAATGGCTTCTCGCTGGGCGACCAGCAACTGACGCGCTACGACGTGCCCGTGATTGTGGACAAATGCATCAACTTTGTCTACATTCACGGGTCCATGTCGGAGGGAATATACCGTAAGTCCGGATCGGAAAACTCCATGCACAAGCTGATGAGTGCTTTCCGTGCGGATGCCTTCAATGTGGAGATCACCCGGAACGAGTACAACGAGCACGATGTGGCTAATGTGCTGAAGCGCTTTATGCGCGACCTGCCTGAGCGGCTGCTGGGCAAGCTCACGGACAGCTTTGTGTTCGTCACGGAGCTGGCTGTGGCTGCCGAGAAAATACCCATCTACAGAGAGCTGCTGGCTAGACTCTCCGCCATCGAACGCGAGACGTTGCGCCGGATTGTGGGTCACCTGGTGTTTATCAACTCGCAGCAGGCCAAGAACAAAATGAGTGTCCAGAACCTGACCATGATCTGGGGGCCAACGCTGCTAGCCAAGAAGGTGCGTCTCCTAGCTTGTTCACATAATTGTTATGCTTATGCTTATGGTTGTGACCTTTAGAGCGATGAGCTGGTCTATTCGCAAAAGGAGGCGGATGTGCTGAGCGATCTCATAGTGTTCTACAAGAATCTATTTCCCTGCAGCCCCGATGAAGTGGTAAGTAAACGCGAAGTCCTACTTACCCGATCTGCAATTTAATTTGCATTTAATCTGAGCAGAAACGGGAACAGGCCATGCTGGCGTGCCTGCAAAAGTATTACGCTGCTGCCGAGACGCTCAAAGATGCCGTGAAGCAATCGGGCGACATCAAAATCTGGATTTGTCTGAACCCCAATCCAGGCAATACCACAGAGGTGGAATTTCTTACCCATATTTGATTGTTAAGGGGGGACATCTGAGTAACTGGCCAAAAAAAAAACGATTTTCAAGAATTTTTTTTTGGCCAAATGAAAAAGCAAATCGAAAAATTTTTAAGTAGGTTTGATAATGTTATATGTGAAGTACAAAATACATTTTTTTGGAATAAATCGAAAACAAAATGGCGGCTGTGCAGCATTTCTTCGTAGGCCCTATTTTTTTGAAAGGGGTCCATGGCCGGAAACCTAACGTCCTTAATTTTTGATCTAGAACAAAAAATCAAATTTTGTTAGATTCTATATCTCAACCGCTATCGACACACGTAGGATTTTTTCGATATTTTGATTTTTAGCAAAATGGTGAGTGATTAAATAAAATGTTCAATTTTCATGAGAAAAAAAGTCACAATATTGTTGATAAAAAAAAAGTAAGCAAAAAAAAAAAAAAAAAATCCTAAGTGTGTCGATAGCCATAGGTACTTTGAATATACTGTCAAAATTTCAGATCGATCGGTTAAGATTTGTTCCAGTTAGGTTTCCGGCCAACTCAAAAAAAGTGGTTTTGAGATAAACGCGTTTAAAGTTTTAAAATCGTATATGATTACATGTGAGGCATCGCCGCAGAATGGAAAATTTCGACACTTAGAAACTTTTGCCGGACTCTATCTTTTGGTATGTTATTTTTAAGACCCTAAAGTATTTTTTAAGCAAAAAAAAAAATTTTCGATTTTTAAAAAAAGTTACTCAGATGACCCCCCTTAAGAAAGATATAACAAACAACATATAAAATTCATCTTCTTCAACAGGAAAAGACACAGGTGAATGCGACCATTTCACCCACAAAGAACGCCTATGAGCTGTGCCGCGAATACTCCGCCAAAATGCAGTTGTCCACTCACCAGCTGACCCTGTACGAAGTGATACTGAACGACAGCTTAGAACGACCGCTTCACCACGATACTAAAGTATTTGATGTGATCCTCAACTGGTCGTATTGGCCGGAGGAGGACCGCAAGCACAACTATCTGGTGATACGTCCGATCGAGATGCTGCATGAGATCCAGCGCGCGGTGAAAAATCTAGCCACCGTGACGCCCGGCAAGGAGCTACGGTTCGCCGACTACCGCACCAAGACCTTCAAGACGCTGCAGTGCGAGCTGCGCGACGGGAAGATAGTGGTGTCTAAGAAGGACAAGAACGACAAGACGACTATTGTGCGCGAGGTGTTCTTGCAGAGCTGCACAGTCTATTTGGGTTGTGAACGCAAGCGGGACTTTCCTTGGAGCTGGGCCATCACATTCGTGGAGCGCACACAGGCGCAAATCATGAGGTAGGTCACTAGAGCTTCACATATGGATCGCTGAGGCCGGACGCCCACGTATTGACGATAATATACACACGCAGAATTGAAAATAAGCTAAGGGATAAGAGCATAGCTTGCAAATAACTGTCAACAGTTTTTTCCCTTACGCCGACGTCGATTCTCTTTGCTTTGGTTTTCTATTTATTGCTTTGCGTTAGCTCTTTTACCGACGACTGAGACGACTGGCGCTCACTCAGAGATTTTTAAAAGACCGATTTACTGAAAAGGTCGGCGCAAATGATATTTTAGAAGTTAGATCTTGAAAAGTTAGTCTTGATTTTTTCAACCTAAATGAAACAAATAATGAAGTTTTCTTTTAATTCATTATTTTTAAAGCAATTCAGTCGGTTGCTCTTAAGATCTTCTCTCTAATTCTAAGAAAATGACATTTTATTTTGCGATCGCACGAATCGCTCAACAGTTATTTGCGAGCTATGGCTATGAGCGATCCTGTTTGTGCGGAAGTCAGGGGGGAATAAAAGTCCTCTGCCTCTTTTGTAATTTATTTTGGCATATATAAAAATTGTTCATTACGAAAATGTACATCAGAAGTTTTCGGAGCTGAAGTCATCATCCCCCCTTCTATTCTATCTTGTTAGGTGGCGTTCTTATTTGATATTATAGAAATAATAACAATCGTCATTATAGATCGCGCGATGCTCCCTATATTGGCCACGTCCTGGCTGGCAGTGAATGGATGGATCGCACAATCTGGTACGCTAGCATCTGGTACTGCCTGTACAAGGACAACATCCTGCCCCCAGCGGATATAATTTTTAAGTAGAACAAACATACATATATATATCGTGTAATTTCCTTCTTAAGAGTGCATTTCGTGTAGGTATATTCTGAATTTATTCTCCATAGTTAGGCACTAAATACTTTAAATGTACATATATAGGCACTTCCACAATCCACAAAAAACGAAAGTAGTTTTTGAGGTCAACCAATTTAATCGTCAATTCAGCAGCAATATTTTTGTGCTACTAATTTTTAAAGGTTAGTGCACCGATGTTTCTTAAAAAGTTTTTTTTTTTTTTTTATTTACGTGGAATATTTTTCTATTCATTTTTTTGTTTGAAGTAGACTCTTAAGAGAAAGGTTTAGAACATGCCCTTTTTATGATGTTTTTAATCAAAATAATACAAAATCGAGCTTGTGCTGCATTGCATTCGAATATTTCGAGAGCTGGTATAGAATATGCTAGATTCAGTCAAATTTGGCCAATTGGAACCCTTTTTCCTGTAACTGTATTACAAAAAAGATTTTAGAGAGCTTTCAATTTTTTGTCCGCGGTGGACCTTCATGTGGAATTCCCCATATGAAGATAGCAACATTCTGTAAATAATTATTATGTCCATGAATTATTATCAAAAATCAATATTCTACATACACCCTATGGGAAAGGATTGTAACGTTAAGCCCATGTTCCATTTGTCTACAGAATAGCTCATTTCCTGAACTATCTAGCTTTATTCTAGACACAGGAAAGCAACTTTTAGTAAGGCCAGGCCGCTTAGTGCATCAAATTATGGTTAAGTTAGTTATTTTCAGTTTACCCTTCAAGTTACACAGAAAAAGCCCTTAAAGTCCAAGTGCAAGATAAATATTTCATGGCAATAAATCCGATGTATTACAAAAATATTTTCCTCTTTACTTATTATGCCTTGCGGGTATTGTAATTTTTGCCCAGAAGTTTGCAACGCATTCAAAAAGTATGTATATATTCTTGATTGGCATTACGTTACGTTGTCTGTCTGTACGTTAAGCTATCTCCTTTTATAAATGCCATTTTTTTACGATTTGAGAATTTAGGCTTTTACTTTATCTATATTATTTCAAATAACTGCCATACTATGACACTTTTTTTCAGCACATAGTATATATTACCTGAGGTTATTATTTATAATATGGTTTTCAATATTTCATTACTATATCCTACAGCTGCTGAATGCGAAAAAAATGTTAATTATATAGGTCAAAGTAATAAAATTTAAAATAATTTTGTTTGCTTTCATTTTATAGGTAATGAGCTACTATGTACATATAAGTATTATATGTGAGGAACATCAGCAAACGTTTGGTGTTTTTACATATATATGTATGTATAGGTGTTTCCTTTTGGTCTTGTTAGATTTTAGTTTTATTTTGATCGAAGTGGATAGATCTTCAATGATCCAATTGCAAACTGCAAAGGTGGACAAACTTCCCGAAGGCGTCCCGAAGCTAGCTTTCTTTCTTTCCATAATTGTTATTTTACAAATTTCGTAGAATATGTCATATGGGAGCTATATGATATAGTCGTCCGATCCGGCCCGTTCCGACATATATAGCAGTGAGAGTATATAGAAGACTATATGGAAAGTTTCATTCAGATAGCTTTAAAACTGAGGGACTAGTTTGCGTAGAAACAGACAGACGGACATGGCTAGATCGATTCGGCTGTTGATGCTGATCAAGATTATATATACTTTATAGGGTCGGAAAGGTCTCCTTCACCGCGTTGCAAACTTCTGACTGAAATGATGTATAATACCCTGCAAGGGTATAAATATACAACTTTTATATATTTCCTTTCTTGTTTTCTATTAATTTAACCAGAATGGATCGATTTTTAATAATCCAATTGCAAACTGCAAGAGTATACAAACTTCAGCGTGCCGAAGTTAGCTTCCTTTCTTGTTTTTTTGTATTTACTTGTATTTGTAGTTTTGTTCTTATTAAGGGGAATCCATTAATGGGCAACGTATGCCGCACTATTTTATGGGAATCAACGATTAAAACTACATGATGAAATATAAATAGAGAGCGAATTTACAAAAAAATCAGAAATAATAAAACAAACCATCTGTATTTAACTTTATTCCTTAAATAAAAATGAGGTAAATGATTTCTTAACGAAGAATCAACCACGATTAAAAAACTACGCTACTCCCGCAGTATTTCGTTTGGATATTGCTACCGTTCTCACTTTAACGAGAACCGAAGCCGTGCATGAAGCATGTACTCACCCTGCTCGCAGTTTTGTCGCTTGATAAACTACAGCACTAGAAATAGGATAAAATTAAGTAACGGTAATTAAAAAATGTAGAGCGAGGTGTGAGCATAGCAGTTAACATTGTTTTTCCAGAAACACCGATATGTATTGGCCGATTTAAAAAAAAAACACGATCACAGCTAAAAATTTTAAGTTTTTTAACCGATTAAAATAAAAAATTTTAATAATTAAAATTATATTGTTATGTTCATCATAAATTTGCGAATTTATTGCTCTTTACATTTTAAATATCTATATTTGTATTTAAATAATAACTTTTTAGTTTTCTGCACCTTTTATATTGCATCGGAAATATCACATTATAAAATCAAAAAAAAATATTGATTGACAATTCTAGCACAGCCACTGGAATCCGGAATCCCTAATTCGACATTCCTATAGGAGAACAAATTATTCACATGTTAATTAAATATAGTACGATTTTTCGATTAAATCGATTCTGAAATTATATATCGATGTGCTGCATAATTGAAATAATCTATGTATTAGTCAGCTCCTCCTTGTCGTTAACCATTTTCGATAAATGTACTTATCTGCATTCTAACCCCTCGCTGGATAGCGATATTTCGAACGTTTTAACGATCTTTTGAAATTGAACACCCGTCAAAGAAAACACAAACATTTTAGATATCACTAAAATTTTGCAAACTTTCATTTTATTTCCGTTTTGCTTCCGATGTTTTCTGTACGATAATGCTTGTTCGTTTCCATTTTGCACGCGTGTTTCGAGAACAATTGTTTCTTGCATGAACTATTCACACAGTAAATTTTGTTTTGTTGTACAATGCATAAAAATAGGCTTGTATGTATGTGTATCTAGTATTATTTGCTCATAATTATGCAAATATATAGTTTTATAAGTGTTAAGTATTAAGTAAGCTTGATTTTACTAACTTTAGTGTATTCCCGCCTTCCACCGTCTTGGATCAGAGCGAGATGGATGATATATTTTCATATATAGCACGAGTACGGGTGAGGGAATATTATGAGTGTGTTAAGAGGTCAGGGATGGGGATGGTCAAGGGTGGCTCACTAAAGTTCTAAACCTTCTCGGGGGAAGTAGGTATAGTTAACACACATATGTATGTCCTTCCAACATACATTTATTCCGTATCTATTTTGTACACTTACTAAATATACAAATCAACAAATGCAAAAAAAAAAAACCCGAACTCATTAGGCTTGTAACTCAAAGATCTCTATATATGTACATCGAGTGGGTGGGGCAGGGCCCCAGGAGTGGGAGAGAAAGAGAGGGAGAGAGATTAAGAAAGAGACAGCGAGATGCAGATAGATAGAAAGAAAAAGAAAATAATTCGATTTTTCTTGATTTATTTTTGTATTTTTTTTTTTAGATGCTGCGACACTCGAAGTGCTGGCAAAAATTTAGCCTAGTCGCTATACATATATAGTAGCATATGTTTATATATATATTTATATAACTAGAGGAGGGCGCTAGGCCGCTCAAACTATCAACAAGTTCTCTAACAATAGCTCAAAAAAAGTTACTATCGGTTTAATGAATTAATAATATTAAAGAAACCCAATATAGTAATTTTACATCAATCGATTTGGGATCTGGGGACTGAGAATTGTGTGGGGGAGGGATTTCGTGTGTGCGACTGGGTGTGGGATTGTGGGATGGAGGTGCTGGTGGGTTGGTGAGTGGTTGTTCCGAAAGGGACAATTGGTAAAATGCTTAGACATATAAATAGGTTCTCCTAATGTTAGTATGTAATAATCACATTGACTGCCGCCACTGCATATTCGCTGCCTGGTGCTCCCATCCGCTGCCACTTGTGATGCTCGGTGTGCGTCTGACTACATGTGATGCCACTGCGTCACCGGAACATTGGTGTTGTCATTTAGGCGAGCAATTTCCTCATGCAGGCCATGGCTTAGCCACTGCAGGAAGATCTTGCTGTAGGCCGACTGACAGAGTCTTAGCGGATTGCCGCGTCGGAGACCCTGGTCCGTCTCCCCGTACTCGTCCAAATACGGCGGCTGCACATAGCACCCCTTACCTCGGCCGAGATACACAACCTGGCAGTCGCGGATGCGCAAAAATATGCCCACCTCGGCGCCACAGTCGTGGGCGTGATGGGTGCACGCTCCCACCGTCATCATGCCCAGCTCCGGCTGGCAGCAGTACGACTGGCCGCACAGAATGGCACCGCAAATCAGACACATGGTCGGTGTTTTCATCTCCTCGCGCTCGTTGTTGGGACAGAATATGTCCGACACGCTGTTGATCAGATCGCTGTAGTCGTCGAACAGTGGCTTCAATCGCGGCAGAGGACGCAGACAGGGCACCACCTCCAGGCCAGAGCCGCTTTCTGGCTGGCAGCGATGCGCCACCTCCCTGCTAATGTCGGGGTGCGAGGCAAACGAGTGCATCATCGTGGCGTACACCGTCTCCATATCGAAGTACGCGCCCAGTTGCGACTCCAAGCCCAAGTACTGGCACATCAGCTCGAAGCGATCCGGCTGATCCGTGGGGAACGTGTCCGGATAGTCCACATCGGTGAGGCAGCGATAGAATAGGCTGGAGCACCGCAGGAAGGAGCTCATCTGGCGCTGGACATACTCAAGGAGCAGAGCTAGAGTGTGCTGTTCGCAGGGTATTACCACCGTCTGCTCCTGATTCTGATTCTGCGGCTGTGGCTCCTCCCCTTCTCTATGCTGGCGCTCGTCGTCCAGTTGCTGTTGCTTTCTTCGCTGGAGCACTCTGGCTGGTATATTGTAGCGGCGATAGAATGCCACCATGTTCTCCTGAATCTTGGATGGCAGCATCTCCACGTACGCCAATTGCGAGAGCTCCAAGTGTGGCGTCTCGTCCGCTCGCTTGACCTGCGCCTTCTCAACATCGAAGCAGATGACCGCCTTGGTCAGATTGGCCAGAAACATGGTCTGCAGTATGTAGAAATCGAACATGCTCCCGCTGGGTATGATGGCTTGAGACGCTGTAGAAGACGGAAAGTTTGTAGGCACGTGGGTAAATATTTATCAGGCCCGTTCTAATTTCCACTCGGAAGTGAATTTGGTAACATTTGCGGATTTCCCTTTAACATAAGCGAATTTCCTTGGTGATTTAAAGGAATTTTGTAAAATTTCCCTTAAATTCCCAAATAATTTCAGCTGTCCGCTCTCAACAAAAGGGTTTGCTTTGTCCAAGACTTGCTAATAAAAGGCTGATCAAATGTTGGCCCGCTATAGTCTCAAACTCATAGATAGTAATGAAGTACTAATTGTATTAATAAAATTGAAGGAATAAGCATTTACGACAGGAAATAAACATTTTGAAATATTTTTAATTGCAATCAGCTGTTCTGGTGGCAAAATGCTCGAGAGTAGAGTTGCCGAGATTGTAGGAAAAATTCCTTTCAAATAAAATTTAGTTCAGTTTCTAGATTGTATTGGCGGATTTTCATATACACTTTTTCATATACTTTAAACTAAATGCAGATCTTTTAATTGTAAAACATCATAAAAAGTAATTGTTTGAAATTAATCTTAGATATATGCCTTTTTTGGAATGCTGACAACCCTTAAATGGTCCCTTTCAAATACGATTCAGCGGCGGCGGATTTCCAATAATGTTGAAGGTTAGAATCGAACCGATTTTAAGGTGCAACCACACAATAATTATTTAAAAATCAAGTATATTAGCTTTAGGTAATTCAGGTATGCAATAATGTTCCTAAGACCTCAAAGAATAAAATACAATTAACATTTGCCATTTACATGATCGCATTGTATTTTAAAATAATTAATTTCCGGTTTTGTCAACCTGAATCCGACAGCCAAGTGGCAGTCGGAAAGTTTCCGAGCGGTTTCGCTGGGAAGTTAACAGAGACGTAACAGAGGAAAATACGAATCCGTAAGGATTTTTCGGAAGTGAAAACTAGAACAGGTCAGGGAAACCCGAATCCGAGTAGATCTTGCGGAAGTGGAAACTAGAAACGGCCTGTATGTATTTTGCGAATACTCAACACTCACCCTTTTCGGCGGCCATGAGGTTTAGCACTCCGAACTGCAACTGCACGAGCGTGCGGAAGCAGTCCCACTCCAGCACACTGCTGCCCTTCTGGTTGAAGACGGTGTCCAGCAGACGGGCTGCCCACTCCGCCTGGACGCGCGGCACCGGACGGTGCGAGTCGCATGCGCTGGCAACGGTCGAGGAGAGCGCACAGGCTCTCACCAAGTTGGTGGCACAGCTCTGATGGCGCATCGGCAGCTCGGCCTTGAGCGGCTTTTGAATTTCGAACAGGTAGATCTCCAGGGCCTGCAGCGTGTAGCTGCACGTGTCCCACAGCTGGGCGACCACCTCCAAGCCGGTGGCCTCGACCTCCAGACTATCGAAATTGGTTGACGGTGGCGCAGGAGCCTTGTGGTTAGGCAGCTGACTCTGCATGGCGTTGCGCAGGGCCTTTCTGAAGGAGGCCAAGACGTCTGCATAGTTGTCGGAGAGTTGGGGGGGATCTTGGATCAGCTGGACACTCCGCTCGAACAGGGCCATGTCTCCGACAACGTCGGACTTTCGCAAAATGTTGGCGACGCTTGGCAGCTGCCACGTGAAGGCATTGGCCCCAGCCAGCTCGCCGGCTAGCGTGCGCATAATCTCCACGAAGCTGTCCAACGGCAGACAGCCCTCTGATGCTGGCACCACTGGTGAGAAAGCGGGCAAGGGCTCGCTGACCGGAAGCACAGTGTTGCTTAGGGTCCTGCAATAGGGACAGTGAAACTCTGCGTTGTCCGTGAGGCCGACGGCTACGCGATTGCGCTGTGGACGGCGCAGCTCCTTGACCGCCTCGTTGCTGTAGTACTCTTGCCAGCAGCTGTAGTGCATCACGTGACCGCAGCAGCTCATGTGCAGCGCACTGCGGCCCTGGTGCTGATTCGGAGTGGTGTAGATCACCCGCGAGGTCTGCACGAACGCAAAGCTAACCAAGGGCGGGCCGCTGCGGGTGATGGCACAGTTCTCGAAGCACAGGATGCACTTAAAGGCAGTGTCGCTGACTTGATAGCTCCTGCGATCTGGTCCCAAGCAGGACACGCTCTGCTTCAGAGCCACGGCGCCCTGCTCCTCTTCGTCAGTAGGAATGTCCTCCCATTCCATTACCCCAGTGATTGCTCCCTCTAGATCCCGATCCCGATCCTGATCCTGGCCAGATTCCTTATCACCGGTAGCAGCAAACATTTCGGCATTGCTCTTCATGAATGACTTTTGGGCATTCTTCATCTGGGCCATGATTTTTGCTCGCCGTTCGGCCGCCAAGCGGGCGCGAGCCTCCTTCTCCTGGCGCGCCTGTTCCTCTGAGCTCAACGGTTGCTCGTCCCCCGCGGACTGTTGCAAGCCACTAGGCCCCGCTGCACTTGTGCTTGGCGCCTGTTTGACCTGCAGCTGCTTGTACCGCTTGATGGTCCACAGAACGAAGTCGCGATGGGCCTCCAACTGCGGGGCAGACATTCAAGTCAACAACTCACTCTTCAGTCGCTCTCCTACTTACCCTGGGGCAACGGGCCAGCTCATCCAACTTGTCCAGAATTCCGTACTTTTGGGAGCGTTCGTAGAAGCTAAGGAAGGGATAGTGCTCGCTCAGCTCCTCTTGTATGGCAAACCCCAGCAGGTGAAGGATCTAAAATGCATTGGACAGAAAAAAGTGCACAAAACGTCGTGAAGATCCTGAAGTAAAAAAAAGGAAGGAAAAAAAATGGAATCGGAAAAAACCTTCTGAAGATGGGATTCCGTGAAGGAGCGGCTGTGGGCATCCAAAGCACGATCCATGATCAAGGTGCAGATGCTGAGGAACACATTGCACTGTAGAATGTTGGCCATAGACCTGTGAAGGGTGATAATCAAGTGAGTACGTAGACTGCAAAGACACCTTCTCCCAGGAGACTAGACTCACGTGAACGCTGGCGTCAGCTGGGGCAACATCGGGGGCGGACAGCAGACAAGCTGCTTTTTGGCCTTGCGGCGCTCCCGTTGCAACTCCTCGGCCTTGGACTTGTCTTCTTTAGTGTAGTGATAAAAATACACGTTGAACTCTTCGAACAGATGCTCCTTTAGCTCGTACACGCCCTTGCCATCGACGCCCACCGGCTTCTTGAACGAGGCCACCGTGTTGATCACATCCTCAAAGATGTTGTCACTGTTCCCGCTGTTGCCGTCAGGCAGGGCACGACTCAGCTCCGAGTGGGAGTAGGACTTGGTGCACAGAAGCTGGATGATCTCCTTGCGCAGGCGATCCTCCTCCGTGACAAGAGAGACCCCCGGCATCCACCGCTCGCCGATGATCACGATGAGCAGTTCCAAAAACTCGTCGATCATGGACAACTGTCGCATGAACTCCTCGTCCTCTGTGGCTTCCGCGAGCACCGTCTCGTAGTTCGCCTGCGCCCAGTTGATCAGATTAAACTTGTTCAACACGTGGATCAGGAACTCATTGCTCTCCATAAGCGAGGCGCCAATCTGCAGGCAAACAATGTCCCTATCCAGCATCTCCACGCGGCAGCGCACGTTGCGGTAGAAGTATAGCTGATGCAGCAGGGAGTAGCCATTGCGACGCCACATGCCCGCGGCCACTTGGGCAATCATGGCGTGGGTGCACAGAACGGGCTCGATTATCTCCCTCGGTGTGAGCTTGATGTTCAGCCCCTCGGTCTCCGTCTGCAGGCTGTCGTAGGTCATGTCGTGGGCACCCAAGTGCAGGTAGATCCCCGAATAGAAGCGGGATAGGGGCAGGTGGATGGAAACCGGCTTCGACGAAACATCGTACATCAGGCAGTTGGCCACATGGCCGGCAACACTCTTCGCCTCCGCCTTCTCGCCGCCCACGATGAAACTGTTGCCCACCAGGGCCCGCACCGTCATCTTGTACAGCTTGCGCAACAGCTTGACATCACTGGCCGCCCACTCAATGACCTGGGAGATGGTCGTCGCCAGCTTGATGTGCAGGTTAAAGGCGCACTCCCACTCTGGCTCGTAGTCCATGTGTTGGCCTGTCTGCCTGGTGATCGACTCCATGCCCTGCATCACGTTCAAAACGCGCATCAGAGCACGGCATCCTGTTATTGCGAGAATAGTGTGTCAATTCTGAATCAGCTTCAGCTTATGAAAAAGTAGAGCTCACCTTCGAGAAAGCCGTTCCGCAGGTCATTGTTGAGCACCTCCGGCTTGAGGCTGAGCAGATATCGCAGGTCGTACAGGATGTAGTTGGCCCGCTTGAAGAACGTGAGGCTGGCGGTGTTCTTGCTAAAGTGCAGCGTCCGGTTCTGGATGAACTTCTCGATGGCTACGTGGTAGAACGTGTGCAGTAGCTTGTCGAATATGCCCTCCTGGGCGATCAGGTGATGGGCGATGCTGGGCACCGTGAACAGCTGCACACTAAGCGAGACTATCGAGAAGGCGTGGTCGTGGTCGTCGCTGATAAAGTCTTCCACGATGGTGGCGTAGCGGCGCGAGAACTCCTGGGCCAGCACCATCTTGTTGTCGTACTCCATTAGCATGCCGGAGATGAGGAGGCGGTGCCAGCAGGTGCGCGCCGTCTTCCACAGCTTAACGTCGTACTCGAGGATGTGTCGGATGCAGAACGCCTCCTGCTTGCGCTGCACCAGCCCGGCGAACGTCTTCCGGAAGAGGTAGTGGCACACGAGGAACTCCTGGAACCAGCCAAGCAGCTGCAGAGCAAACTGCTGGCACGCCACCGCCCTGGTGTGCAGCACGGACGTCCGAAGCGACTGGCTGTTGCGCTGATTCAATAGCAAGTTGTTTGACGGTATCATCTGGTTCTCGATGGCAGTCTTGAGGTCGTTGCACTCCTGCAAAAATATTGAAAGTAACATGCCCAAACGGTTCCGATAGACAGTAGCATTACCTTAAAGGTATCGCACTTAACCACCGCTCGACCCTCGCGATCGATTGCTGCTACAATTTCCATGGCATCCTTGTGTCCACACTTGGCAATTTTGGTGAGTGTTTGGATCACTTGGTCGAAGGTGTGCGATTCGTCATTGTAGAGCACCGTGCAGAACTGTGCTCCATCGCCATCCAAGCACTGCAGGCTTGCGTTCGGTTCGATTTCCAAGTAGTTGACGCAGAACGAGAGGATCGCACCAAAGCAGATCACCGCCCGCTCGAGGACCGCTTCAGTAATGATCTTGCTCTCTAGCGGATTCTTTCGATTGGCCTAAAATATACGTGCGATACAACTTTTCGTTATTAAAGTACCTTATGTACATATTTTTCAGCAATATGAAAACGGAACAGACCCTTTGTATCTTCTAAATTCTTCTAATTTAAATTTCTTTATTGTATGCCGTGTTAATTCCGTCCGATGATATCGACGCATTTTCGCGAAAGTATCGTATGTCGAAAAATCCAATTTTACAGGAGAAGCTTTTTTGTGCTTTAATCTCTTAGGAAGCACTATAGAAAAGACAAAATTGAAACTTAATTTTTATCGAAACTATAAGGTTTTCAGTTATAATATTTCACAGGGTAGTGAGACATTAGGTACCTAACAATTTTGCATTAAAATCTCAATTTCGAAAAAAAGCGACATACGATACTTCCGCGAAAATGCGTCGATATGTGGAATATGTAGAACTGCAACTGTAAATTCCTATTCCCGAGGCGTTAACTACGCCCCACACCATGAAACCTCCACCAAGCATCTTATTCCTATGTTATTCCTATGGAAAATCACGGTGGTGGGAAGTTGAAATTTGGCCCTTGTCGAGTGTAGTATGCATCGTTTGTAGGAAAACATCATATCTGGACAAATTATGCCCCGTTACGAGCTAGATCTTCAAACAGGACAAGCGTACGGCGCAGATCATGAGGGATTCGCTGGTGTATTATGGTCCCCGGCAATTATTTTTATACCCTTGCAGGGTATTATAATTTCAGTCAGAAGTTTGCAACGCAGTGAAGAAGACGTTTCCGACCCTATAAAGTATATATATTCTTGATCAGCATCAACAGCCGAGTCGATCTAGCCATGTCCGTCTGTCCGTCCGTCTGTCTGTCCGTCTGTCCGTTTCTACGCAAACTAGTCTCTCAGTTTTAAAGTTATCTGAATGAAACTTTGCATATAGTCTTGTATATACTCTCACTGCTATATATATCGGAACGGGCCGGATCGGACGACTATATCATATAGCTGTTATTCCATCATTTTTGAGAAATAGCCATTTAATATCATTCCAGAATTTTGATTAAAATTTTATAGTCCACCGAACTATATCTTATAGCTGCCATAGGAACGATCGGGAAATTAATCGAAAAAAAATGATAACTTCGTTGTTTTTCAGCGTATTTTAATCTACTTTGAGACATGAGCTTCTGGTATTATTTCAGAATTTTGGTATAAATTTTATGAAAATCGGACGACTATATCTTATAGCAGCCATAGGAACGATAGGGAAAGTAATAGAAAAAATTATAACTTCGTTGTTTTTCAACGTATTTTCATCTACTTTGAGACATGAGCTTTCAGTATTATTTCAGAATTTTGATAACAATATTATGAAAATCGGACAACTATATCATATAGCTGCAATAGAAGCGTTCCGTAGATGTAGAGAAATTGTAAAGCTGGGAATGTAAAACTGTAACTGTCAAACTGTATACATAATAAGTATAGGAAAAATGTTATGTAACTCTGTTTAGTGTCTGTTTTCGGCATTATAATTTATAATATATATATATAAACCAATCAGCAAGGGTATACAAACTTCGGCGTGCCGAAGTTAGCTTCCTTTCTTGTTTAGTTTAGGACTTAGGACCTAAAAATTATAAAGTATATTGGGAAAAATTTTGAGCAGAAAGGTCGAAAACACGCAATAAGTAGTGCTCCTATCGTTAAATAGTGGATACAAAAGGAGTGGGCTAAAATAAGGAAGAGGAAGGAGGATAAGTGGGTGGCTTCGATGCCACTAACTACAAGCAGTTATTGATGTCCATGGTAACCCAAAAAATTATTAATATTTATTTCCTTATATCAATATTATATCATAAAAGTGCATAGTAAGCAATCGTACGTACACTTTTGTCACTGTCGTTTTTTTCGTTTTTTGCTTATAACTTTAGAAGTTAATGTTGAATTCAAATGAAATTTTAGTTGTTGTATAGTAATAACATTTAAAACTAGACTGCATCATTACATTTCTTGTCAAATCTGTAGGAGTGGGTAAAACCCAAAAAAAGGGGTCGTACGTAGACTTTTGTCCATGACTGTATGTAACAGACGATCCCTATAAAGTATACATCAAATTATATGTACATATCGCCGCATTTCCGCGAAAGTATCGTATGTCGCTTTTTTTCGAAATTGAGATTTTAATGCAAAATTCTTAGGCACCTAATGTCTCACTACCCTGTGAAATATTATAACTGAAACCCCTATAGATCCGTTAAAAATTAAGTTTCAATTTTATCATTTGTTCAGTGCTTCCTAAGAGATTAAATAAAAAAAAAGCTTCTCCTGTAAAATTGGATTTTTCGACATACGATACTTTCGCGGAAATGCGTCGATTTAGCCTTGCTCGTCTGTTAGTCAATATGAAACAACCGACCTCAGAGAAAAACGGTAGACAATCTTAAATTAGATAGTATTATGCGTCCATCACCGCCTAAATAAAAATATATACCCAACATATTTAAAATTGCACTAGGCACTGGGTGGGCGTGAGCTTTTTTGTTGTAAGGTCTCAGGGCCACAACTTGTACATACATATAAACGAAACTTCACGTCGAACCGGGGCACTATGGTCCAGTCGACCACTTTGTTTGGCCAAAACCTATTTTTTGAAAGTTTACCAAATAAAGTTATTTTGGTCTCTATTAATTAGAAATAGAGTGACCATCAACGTGCCATTCTCGAAATCTTCCCAGGTGGCGCCACTCTCGCACAAGAGTCTTCCAAAGATAGCTGATTGCACACGAGCGAACGGCAACACTTAAAGTGCGAAAATTAATACAATTCTTAAATTAGGAAAAGTCATGGAAAAAACAAGAATTGTTAAATTTTTTAACTTGAATTTGAATCAGTGGGATATGTACTACATATTTTATATAGTAAAATGTTTTAAGTCGTTGTGATGTCTTTTTAATTTGGTGTTAAAGTCTATCGTCTAAAATATTAAAATTTTATTTTAAATGTAATTTTCAAAAAGGTATATAAAAGTGAGTCCAGCCTAGTCCAACCTTGAAACCAATGGTGTGTTGTAGAGTAATTAATTCTTGTTTAATTGCATATAGTGAGAAATGCCACATTTGACCACATTTCTTTAAATTTGCAATAAAAGATGCCTATATTTTGTATGAAAATGCCAATTAAAACGCTGAAGTAACGTCTTTATACTCATGCAAACTAATAAATATCCAACAAAATGTTTCAAATATAGTTATTCTAATAAAATACAATAAAAAAAATATATTGAATCGTAGAAAGTTTTTATAACCCACTTTTCATGCAATTATAAGGAAAAACAGGACTCTTTTCCGATTCTTTCTATGTAAAATATAGGAACTCGTCATCCGACTCCTATAAAATTTTTAATATGTAGTTAAAATGACTTAATCTTGAAGTAAACGAAGTTTTATGAATTTATCTTAAAAATTTCTAAGTCGTTCCTATGAAAGCTATAGGATATATGTAGTTTCCTGATCCGGATAATTTTGATCCAGTATCATCCTATAAGTATAATTTTACGATTGGTAAAGTTTCAAGTTGATATCTCTTAAATTGACGAAGTTATTAAATTTGGCCAAAAAAAGTGGTCGGCTGGACCATAGTGCGGGGCTTTAATAAATTTATTTGTAAATGTATATTAAGTACTCCTTGCGAGCACGTGCGAGCTAGGGGTTAGGTCACCCAAGCAAGCGCATTATAGTTTTAGATTTTTACGCTCTTAACTTTGTGAGAGCGAAGGAAGCGCGATTGTCGTTGCCATCAAAAAGTAGCCTCATATGCAAATCGAATGTATCGCCGTTACACATCTTAATAAATCTAATACCTGTGGTTGGGTGTTATGCTCGGAAACGCACTAAATGGGTTTAGATTAAATTTATAGTTTAGGACGGAAATCTACATTCAAGGTTTTATTTTTTTATTTAAGACCTGTATAAATAATGTATATACTATATGTCATTCAATGTTATACAGTAGCGCAACACTAAAACTTAAATAGGATCTATGATTTCTACACGGTCAGACAGACCTATCCTTTTTTTCATACTCCCTGACGATAACATACTCTAACCAGAATTCAACAGACATTATTGTATAAAAAAAAACAGCTTGTTGGCCTTAGTTTTGCCTTGCATGTAAGCAATTACGTCTTTAGATGTTTGAGCAAGGGAGTTTTCGAAACGTGGTTCTGTAGGCGAACAAAACGGACAGCACTAGGCAATACGGTTTACACGGGGCACATTTGGATAACGAATACTTGTTTTTTTTTGGCTATTAAAATGATAGTCCAGTGTAGAAACCACATTAGTAGAGTTTGGGTTTGCTGCATTAGCAATGCCCTTGGCGTGAACTGCAACCCGTATTCTGTTCTGCTCTCATACGGAAATACGGGCCCCAGCCCACGGTTCAATGGTGTACTAACCAGATGCAGCTGACAGTAGTGATCCTTTTTCCAAGCTTCGTCGTCGCCACAGTCGCAGCAGCCACCGCCGCCCGAGGTGGACATCTTGTATTTGTGGAAACGGTGTGCAGACCGCTTAAAGCAGTTAACGCAAAGCACGCAGGTGGGATCGACGCCGCACTCGCGGCAACTGTAGGTGGGCTCCCCGTTTTTGAAGACCTTGCCGCAGACAGTGGCCGTGTTTCCTTCCAGTCGGAGCTTTTCCAGAGCAGAGACGGGATTGTCACCCATTATAAACTCTACCACCACATCAATTATCTCCTCCTTGGCCAGTGCCTCCTTAAACATGCATTTGACTGAAAGAGAGGTGGGTCAGTTGAACTCAATTTATGTTTAAACATTATGAAGTCGAATCAGTCGAACGTTCTCTACTGGGCGAAATACTAATTTGAAATGTGGTCGCTGCAATGATCTATCCAGACTTACTGGAACCACGAAATAGCTGCCCGCCCATCATGCCGATCGTCCTCAGGACCGCAACACTCCAGCTCGTGCCTGGATCATTGTCATCGTGGAAAAAACACTCAAGCCTTCGACGACCCACAGCAGTAGGATTCACTGCTCCTCCTTTTGTTAATGGATTAGGTTATGGTTAATGTGGGAGTATTAGAGTGGGTGCTAGATGAGTGATGGCGATGGTAGATGGTATATGACTAGGTATGCCGCCCAAAAACCCGACCTAAAGGTCTCATCTTCTCTTTTGCCAGTCTGTCATCCCATGACAGTGATTCGAACTTTATACTTACGAGTTAGCGCATTTGTATCTGAAATAAAAATAAAAAAAAGTATTAATTATATATGCTGCAGTAGTCTTATCTTGCGAAAAGTAGTGAATTTGCCAATACGTGTATTGTTTTCAGGATTGATTAAAATCAAATGACCGAATGCGATGGCTGTATATTTATTTTAATTATATAATACTAATACTAATGAGACTATCTGCAAAGTTTCATTGAGATAGCTCCAAAACTGAGAGCCTAAACGACTAGACTAGACTAGACGGAGGAGGCACACAGTCGAAAGTAAAGGCTAATATGGTATGCTCTTTAAGTTAACTTAATGAATACAGAACATAGTGAAAAATATGGTGGAAAAAATGTCACGTGCAACATGTGAAATGCACAAGAAGCGGACATTAACGCATGACATTTTAAAATTTGTTTTATTAAAATAATCCCTGGCGTGTTGCTCAAAAATCAGTGTTACTTCGTTTTTGTAGTGTTCTTGAATGGGAGAAAATGTTTAAATTCAACACTTGGACAAATTATAGTCCAAGGCAAAAGCTAAAACAAGCGTATAAAAAATGTAAAATACGTTTTTTTACTTTGTATGCGTACGAATACCCATAAATAAAATACCCATAAATAAAAACTGCAAACTTTTTCAGATTTTTCAAGTCTCTAATACAAATTAAGTTGATTATGATTACGACAGCTATATGCTTAATTCAATTTTTATATCATTATAAAATTAATTGTATTACATTTACCTAAACATTTTATACAGTGTGGGCGGTTCCGGAAAAATATTAAAAGCAACCAAAAAACTTGCGTTTGGAGCGTAATTATAATTTTTCAGTGAAACGTATGCATTGGAATACATACGAAAAAAAAATATTTTATTATTAACAAGAAAGGAAGCTAACTTCGGCACACCGAAGTTTGTAAACCCTTGCAGATTGGTTTTGATATTTATATTATAAATTATAATGCTGAAAACACACACAAAACAGAGTTTCATTTCATTTTACCTATACTTATTATGTTTACAGTTTGACAGTTACAGTTTTACATTCCCAGTTTTACATATTGTATACATTTACCGATCGCTTCTATGGCAGCTATATGATATAGTTGTCCGATTTTCATAAAATTTTTACCAAAATTCTGAAATAATAAAAGAAACTCATATCTTAAAGTAGATAAGAATATGTTGAAAAACAACGAAGTTATAATTTTTTTCCTATTCATTTTCCAATCGTTCCTGTGGCAGCTATAAGATATAGTCGTCCGATTTTCATGAAATTTTTATCGAAATTCTGAAATAATATAAAATAGCCATATCTGTTGAAAAACAGGCAAGTTATAATTTTTTTTCTAAAAATTTATCGATCATTTGTATGGGAGCTATATGATATAGTCGCCCGATCCGGCCCGTTCCGACATATATAGCAGTGAGAGCAGTAAAAGACTATATGCTAAGTTTAATTCAGATAGCTTTAAAACTGAAGGACTAGTTTGCGTAGAAACGGACAGACGGACGGACGGACAGACGGACAGACGGACCGACAGACGGACATGGCTAGATCGACTCGGCTGTTGATGCTGATCAAGGATATATATACTTTATAGGGTCGGAAAGGTCTCCTTCACTGCGTTGCAAACTTCTGACTGAAATTATAATACCCTGCAAGGGTATAAAAATACTGAATTAGGGTTCCAACTTTATAAAATTGTTATAAACTTATCTGCGCAAAACAGAATTCATAATTATTTGATGAATTTCGTAACGGCAATCCCATTGATTAAATAAATTCTAGGTAACTTAGTCTCTTATGATAGAGAGTTTAATAATAAAATCACTGACTCATACGGATGGCATTTTTGTAGTTTGTATACTATTTTTCATTGCCGCTTTGGACCCTTGAGTAGTTGTATCACGGTTATAGCCGGTTTAAAATGTCATTAAAATGGTTAGAACTATCGGACCGCATGACGGTTATGCTGAGCATCATGATCGTGATTGCCACCAACAAAATTAATATGTACTATTCACGTAAATTTGTAAATTAATGTTGGCCCACAGAAGAAACCTTTTAACTGAATCATATAAGCGAACTCTACATGTAAGCGAACTTCAATTTCAAATGCAAAAGTCAAATTACAATAAATGGAGTTCAAGGCCGATATTATCGCTGAACTTTGGGAAAAACGGTTAGGAGCGAGCGAGGGCGAGAAAGAGAGCAAGCATTTTTATTTTATAATCTTTTATCAGCGCAAATCTGACGTTGCTTCAAGGGCTATCAATAAAAACAAGTAAGGATACTAGCTTTGGAATATAATCAATCCATTTTCGTCAAATGAGTAGAAAAACTGACAAAAGCTTTTTAAAATATGTACAGAGGTAGTCTGCACACAACGTATTAATTGTTCACATTCCAACATCTTTTATTTGTTATTCTTGTTGTTGTTGAGAATATTCCCAAAAAAGAATGCGTTAGTTCATGGGGCAATTTTAAAAGCAAAAGAGTATAAACATGTAAGTATTTACGTAAAAAAAATAACCTTATATTGCAAAACGAATGTATGGCCGTTACTCATCTTATAATTCTATTGTTTTTGGTTTTACCCTCTCAGCTTTACAATTTTTTCTACACCTGCTGATCATTTCTATGATAGCTATATTGTCAGATTGTCATGATATTAAAACAGAAATTCTAAAATAATACTAAATGACTATCAGGTCGGCTCCGGTTATCGTTTTCCTAAAAATTTTGTGATTTCGATTTTGACATCGTAAAATCGGTGATTCCCTTTTCTATTTCGTATGATTTTTGAGATTTGTAAAAAGGGCACCTTTGTCTGGCCGGAATGAAAATGAATAAAACTTTGTATATAGTCTTCTGGATACTCTCAATGCTATATATGCCGAAACGGACTGGAGTTGTCGATTCGACAAATTTTTAGAATAAAAATTATAGCTCGGCTGTTTTTCATCATATTTTCATATTTGAGATTTGATAGTTTTTTATTATTTCAGAATTTCGGTTTTAATTTTATAAAAATCGGACGACTATATCTTATAGCTGCCATAGGAACGATCGGGAAATTAATAGACAACAATTATAGCTTTGTAGTTTTTCAACGTATTTTCATCTACTCTTTTTATTATTTTAGAATTTTGGTATAAATTTGATGAGAATCGGCTAAACTGCAAGGGTATACAAACTTCTGCGCGCCGAATTTGGCTCCTTTCTTAGTTATATCAAATCAGATCTTAATTACTAAAGGGAAAAAATAGTTTACCACAAGATCATTCTGGCACGCAGTTATTTTATGAAATATAAAAAATTCATTAATAAGATTAAAGGACGGCCAAAAATGTTCTTTATATGTAATGCTATTTAATTTAATAACTTAAATGGTAAAAATTCACCAAATAAGTACATAATTGAGACCACCGGAACTAAAGCTGTGAAAAATGTAGCAGCAATATCTGCCTCCTCCTGGCTTCGAATAAAAAAGCCTTTTCTTAACGTTGTTTACTTTGACAAAAAAAAGTCAGCTATTTGAGCAGTAAGAAACGACGAGAAAACTAAACATTCCGATAGCAAAAATTAAATTAAATTATGAACCGGAGCAGGTAAAAAGTAAACAGAATGATTTCGCCCAAATCGAAAACGAGAAAAAAAAAACGATAACTAGAGCAGACCAGTATATCTCAAGCCGATGAAAAATATTTGAAAAGTTATCAGGCCTGTTCTAGTTTCCACTTCAGCAAAATTTATTCGGCTTCGGATTTCCCTGACCTGTTTTAGTGTTCACTTCCGAAAAAATCTTACGGATTCGTAATTCCCTCGTTCGTTACAAAAACGTTTTTGTAAAATTGTAACGCTAAAAATCTTTGAATTGGGACGGGCAAAACAGCTGACATCCGCATGAGTTTTCCAATACTCTATATCGAACATTTCAAATTTTTCTAGTTTAACATTTAACGTCCAAGAATGCTTGTACCTTTAGTTTTATGTAATGAACTAGGAACTTTGGTTAGAGCGGGCCCCCTATTAACAAAACTCAGGCAAAATAAACGCGTTTGTCTATATCGGGCAGCTGATATTCATTCGGGAAAAAGGGACCAAGGGTAAATTTAACAAAAAGTCCCTAAATCAACAAGGGAAATTCGCTTATGTTAAAGGGAAATCCGCAAATGTTATCAAATTCACTTCCGAGTGGAAACTAGAACAGGCCTGTATATTTTTATTCTTAAAATTTCTCGATCATTCCTATCGCAGCTATGTAAATACATATATGACAGTCGTCTGATCCAGCCTGCACCAACTTAACATACAATATAAACTAGTCAGAGTAGGCAGAAAACTACCTGCAAAGATTTATTCAGATAGCTTTAAAACTGAGAGACTAGTTTGCATAGAAATGGACAGACGAACATGTCTAGATCTACCCGGCAGACATGGCTCTACGGACATGGCTAGATCGACTCGGCTGTTGATGCTGATCAAGAATATATATACTTTATAGGGTCGGAAATGTCTCCTTCACTGCGTTGCAAACTTCTGACTGAAATTATAATACCCTGCAAGGGTATAAAAAACGTAAATTCCTCGTCAACTAATTCATTTTAATTTTTTTTTTTGGTGTTTTGGTGTTGTTAAACAGCCTAAACAGTTGATAAAATATTTATTTTACTCCCATATCAGCTCTAATCGGATTTTGGATGCAGATGTACATACAATGCTCTGTGGAATCACGAGTTTCACTTCTGCGAAAAATTCCATCTGTTTCACGCTGGTGCACTGAGTGGGAAGACAGTCTTTTCGTCTTTTAATGGGTCAAAGTAACAGAAATTCTAAGGAAAGGAAATCAATCCGAAAACTTCGTCACTAAGTACGCGATCGTTACCGATAGTCAGTAAGTGCTCAGAGAAATTTAGTATCATATCAGCAATCCAACTCCCATGTTTGTTGTCAGCTGAAGTTTCGTCACATTGCACATAGATTCGATTATTTGAGGCGTTTATTTCGTCT